CTCTTTGTTTGGAATCCCTTTTGGGGGGAAGATTTGGCATTTGGGGGAAGATCGCAAGCAAGTCCGGAAAAAAAGTGGGACCTGCGGTTTCGGTTTTCGAGCAACGCCGAACAGCTGGGAGAGAAGTCCGGGAAACCGGTGGTTTTGTTGCAGCGCTTGATCATGAACACTGTTCCCTAGAACGCCTAGAAGTCCAGTTTGACCATATTTTGCCTCAGTGAAGTAAGGGAAGTTTCCTAGAAGTGCCACCGAAAGGCCATTCTTTCTATATGGTCTTTGACTCCCAGGGTGTTTATTTTGCAGAACCTGGGCTTGGTAGGTGAAATCCTTCTGCAGCGGTGCCGGCACCAACTCTTCACTACAAACTTGATAGGTGTGGGTGGTTTTCGACTGTAGAAGATCTCCGTTTGTCAGATCGAAAATGGCCATCACCAGGCCTGGCGTCCTTTTTGGGGTCTCGTCCTCTCGTTCCCGATCCCAGTGCTCAGTGCTCGAGTCACGGACCCAGTCGTCACCTCATGGATCTCAAGTCGACTCAATCTCTTGAGTCTTAGGCTTTGGAGCGGCAAAGAGCCACGCAACCAGCGGAAAAGGCGAGCCGCACAGCCGGCCTGGAGGCTGCGGATGCCGCGTCGGTCTGGTGGGGGTTGCGGCGCCGGGCGTATGGGACGCGGACGTGGGGACATGGGTGGACGCGGCGGACGCGGGACAGAAGAAAAGGCTTTTCAGTTGGTCATTGCCACTTAGTGAGACGTTGCCTGGATACATGACCAATCACCATTGCCACCTTCTTGGGTCACCTGCGAGTTTGAAGCCTTAGACCGGAGACAGAGTCGAATGCGTCCAGCCTGTCCCATCAGAGCGACCTTTGCGGCGCCCGCCGAAAAGCCCAGTAGGTCTGACCAAATAGCCCACAGGGCCCCTGTGCGAACTGCTCCTTAGAGGTAAGCGCTATCCAAAAACCACACCCTTGGGGGGCCCTTGTAAAGATTCACAGAATCTTGGCTGCTTTTGTGTTACAAATCCAACGACCGCATCCACTTGGCTGGTTGCCGTCGGCTCGAGCCGCGCCCTTTTCCGTCCGCAGGACGTGTCTTCCTTGAAGCGTTCGCTGGAGCAGCTCTCAACGCAGAACGAACAGTTGACCAAGACGCTGGCGTCCAAAAACAAGTTCCTGGAGGCCCTCCGGGACGGGCCCCGACACGGCACACGAGTGCCTAAGACAGCCATGCTCGTCCCACGAGGGCTGGCAAAAGGGGAGAATGTCCTTGTAGTGGTGGGAATTCCCAAGCTACACAGGTGTTGTTCTGGGTCTGGTAGGAAGGTAAGATTCTACATGTGTGTCGAGTGTGTATTACTTTTATAAAGAGTTGGAGAGGAGACAGAATCTCTTATGACTTGGATCCTACAGCACATTCGCAGGACATCTTGCAATCCGCCGCAGCTGTATCTTGGGTATTGGTCGCAGGCACCAACCAACAACTATATTAATTGTTAATAATTGCAATATTCAATAATAGTACCAGGACCGTCCAACAGGTGGTTTTGGGACACCCCTTACCCTCCAAGAGGCTATTAATATAGACACCCCTTGAAGGGTTCTGGTAGTAAGGAGCTTGGTCTAATTGATTCTAATTGGGACGACCATCCTTGCAAGGGCCGGGTCTTTTCGGCAGCCGGCCGTCCCACGTCACGGACGAGGTCCACTCGCCAGCGGTGGTGAGTGTTTGGCCAAAAATGGTCACAGAGTCGCACCAAGCTCGCAGGCACCACTGCAACACTTGCAGGCACCACCGTTTCTGCGCAACCATCAGCCTCGCGACCGTGAGAAGAACAGCACGAAGACCGTGCTCGCTCGAGAACAACGGTGGCATCGTCTTAGATTGACTCTCAGAATCTTCAAGCTTTTCAACAAAGTCAATTGCCAAGCATTGTCAACATGGAAGGAGCTTTCGAATACAGCAACTTGACTTCGCGGATCAGACCCTTGGTCGGGTCCCTTTGGGAAGTGCTGGCTAAGTTTCCAGATGAGGTTTTGTGCCTGGTGTCAAGCCAAAGAGAGTTTCAATCATTCTGGAGTTGGCCGTGAATGCAAAGTCAGGCCGCAAGGGCAGCAAAGTGGAAGGAGTCAGTTGACTAGCATTCATCTCACTTGAGACTCCTTTCCAAGTCTTGTGCTGCGGAATGCTGTGGCATGCGGCTTGGTTTGCCGGATCCCACGCCGCCATTTCGGTTCTTGTGTGCTTTATTCCATATCTACTAGGTTGAAGGCCATGGCTACATATAGCTACTAGGTTCTTGTTTGCTTTCGTTTCCGTGACGCGCGGAAGCGCGACGTGCTTCGTCAAGGCGAGCTTCGGTGCATCGATGCATCGAATGCGCTGGATGTCAACGACCGCCGTTCAAAGAGTACGTCGACTGTGAGTTACAATATATACATGGAGGTGTCTTTGAATGAATTCTCACTTGCTTTCTCACCACAAGGTGTGCAAACAGCTGTCAGGCACCCTTAATGAATTTGAAGGGCTGCAGATTTACAAATTGTATTCCGCGGTGCAGCCTCAAGGTATACGGTGCTGCATGGGTCTTGAGGTAAACGCGCTTGATATTGTCTCTCTTCGATCGACTCAAACCTGTGTTTGGCCCTGCAGTCATTTGGGAACTCGAGTTTTCACCTCCGTCTTCACCTCCATCTGTTGTACATGCGTGGACATCCCTCACAGTTTCCTCTATAGCTCTGTTTCACTCCTCGAAAACACCTGGTGAAAGCTCCAACTTTTGATCCTTATTCCTCCTTTTCGAGCCAAGAGTGTTGCTACAAAGTTGTGGGAGTTGCAGTGGATTCACTCCTGAAAAGGATGTGTTCCGCAAGCCATGGCAAAGAGAACCCGAACACACGATGTTGTTTATGCCCTGCTGGGTCTTCTGCACTGGTTCTGTTCTCACCAAGAAGGGGGCCTGAACTTCGGTCCATGGTCATGTGGTTAAGGTCTCGGCATGATACCAGCCCCCCGGTTCGGTGCTGGATCCTGCCGACCGAACTCTAACCAACCTCTCCGGTGCCGAGGTCCAGCTTCAGCGTTCACTCGTCCTGAACGCGGCGCGCGCGAACGACACGGCTCTCGCGCAGCAGGAACAACGATACCTGCAGCAGACGGGACGAGAGATGATGGAGGCAGAACGACTTGCCGGTCTTGCCCAGCAATGTCGAGCACGTGGAGACTTGCTTTCTTGTTTCGGGCCGCCTGAAAGATGTTGGATTGATGTGCTCCACTAAATACTCACCGTCATCAAACCCTCTATGTTGCAAAGAAAGATAAGAAAGTGAGGGGAGATCAGTCATATTGAATCATAACTCGATTCTGTGAGTGAGTTGGCGGACTGTGTGAGACCACTCAGCCAACAGCACCAACACTAGAAATTCATCAACCTAACCGGCCCCCTCATGAGGGCGGGCCGGCCACAGAAGACACCCAAAAACTGGATATGATAAAAGTGGACCCTAAAGAACTTCCATGATTTGCATGGAGAGGCGCAGAGGAACAATTGTAGGAAAAACGGCCCTCCCCCAAAATGGATGATTTTGTTGGTGTGTTTGGCGTTATTTTCGGGTTTGTTCTGCCGCAGTTTGCCAGGCGCAACAAGATCTCGAAGTGTGTTTGCACGAAGAGTTGTCAGCTCTCCAGGCCTCGGGACAATGGGTTGAAGCATGTTGAAACGAGTCCGTTCGATCCGTGCAAACCTTTGTTGAACTAGTTGGGCGCTCGCCAACCACGGCGAAACAAGAGAGCAACGGCTTCATTTCTTTGCACGAGCCACCGCACGGCAACAGGTGTTTCTCCAATGACTCCAATGGTTCTTGTTGATGGACAGTTGCTGATTTGTTGATGTATTCTTTTACTCCAGGCCAGTGTCCAAAAAGGTTTCTGGCTTTTCTAGCATCCGAAGATGAAACGCTCGCATCACGGGGAGAGGTCATCCTCATCACTCCTCGGAATTTCCCTGAAGGGTGGCTTGAGGGGTTCGAGTCCATGTACTGAAGAGCTGTCAGAAAAGAGTTGGTATAGGAGAAAACCCATCGAAACGAGACAATCATGAAACATCAAACGTTGTGAAACCTGAGTTGAAGCCCTGAAGACGACACCGTTCACGCATATCACAAGTCTACGATTTCAACGGCGATCTCGATCTTGCCAGTTGTGACTAGTTCACCGCTAAGATAACTAAGGGGTTGGTCATGTCTCAACATTTCTTCTCCCAGAAGATTCCACAAAACGACAGGGGAGACTTTCTTCGCCAAGACGCAGGCCATGTGGAGTACCATAAGCGCATCTGAGGTTCGAGAGGAGCAATTGGAACACCTGGCGCGAGAGTTATGCCTTTTGGTGGATCAGAAATCCTTGGAGTCCTTGGTTCAAGAGAGGGCCCTGCATCCGAATCATCCGAGGCTTTGAACGACCACATCTTAAGGGAAAAACAACATATTGAAGAAGTGGAAGACGGAAGAACCATCGATCATGATCTATTTTGAATTTATTTGCAGCCCTTCGTATCTCTGTACTTTCTTCAGGCAAATCGTGTGTCCTGTGCACGGATGTGGACGTGATGTCTCCATGCAGCCTCAAGGACAAATATGGACAAATGGTTCGACCGAAGGAAGACACAAACTTGATCCACCCCCGCAGATCATCCCGACCCTGAGAAGGACAACCTGTGGTTTCAGACATGTTCCTCTTGAACTCGAAGCCCAGAGTTTGGCGCTCCATGTGGTCCTTTGGAAGAGGAAGAAGTATAACTTTCCAAAACGCGCTTCCACCCCAGTTTGGACGGTGCCAGGGGGGTCCCACTAGCTTTGCGAGGATGTGGGACGGGAGGTCTGGGGACTCTACTGCTTATAGACTGACTAGCTGCTGAGGGACTGAGGGCTGTTTGAACAGGGAGCCGTTCAGAGCTACAGAGAGTTTCCCAAGCACTTGTTGTATAAGTAGAAGAGTCCATTTCCAAGTCACATCAATAGTTTTGCAAAGGGCGCAAGGGAGACTTTCCCACAGAAGGAGTCGAAAGCAACCCCCTTGTTCCGTGCAACATGTTTGGGGTCAGATTGCAGATTGTTCTCGCGGGTGTAGGTCCTGCCGTAGGATCCGAGGTCCCTCCGGGGACGACCGAGGTCACCTCCGCCAGCGTCTGCAAGAGCAGAGAGAAACCGAAAGTGCTGAGGCCGACGTCGCGGAAAGGGCCGAGGCCGTCGCTGGGAACACGTGGTCGGTGCGGTGGGGAAAAAGGGGCGAGAGCAGAAGAAGTGGTTGAGGAAGAAGTGAAGTGAAGTGAAGATGTGCGTCTCCAACATCCTCCAACTATACGGGAAGATGTACGTCTTCAACTACATAGTATAGTATAGTCTTACAATGTCTTACACATTCTTACATTTTTCCATGAATCCCCGGTCTCCATCTTGGGGATTTTCTGTTTCATCCGCCACAGCTTCCTGTCTTTCATAGGTGGCTCGGCTTCAAATCCGACTACAGATGCTCGCTCCGGGGCAGCGGCAGGCCGGAGAGGTTCCATTCTTCCATGGTTCGTTCGTTCGACCGAAGGGAACCTGCGGGACTGGTACCGATGCGAGAAGCAGAACTGGATGGGACTCGAAAACTGGTACCTTCGTAGAAGATCCATTTCTCTTCCAGTATCAATTCAGGTGACGCATGGTTACCTCTCCTACACATTTGGCTTCGGAACATGGAGGCCCAAGCAAAGGTTCGGAACTTGTCCCATGTCAGCCAAAATTAAAGAACACAAATGAATGAAACCACTGTTTCTTGCGAAGACTTGACAAGCAGTGAAACTCTAGTGCTCCCCCAAACTCATAAACCGCCGCACTGCAGGGATGGACGATAGTTTGACAGCACTTGTCCCGCATGTGAGAGGGGTCCATATTGTGATCTATTGAAATATATTGTGTATTCTGTTCAGATCCTGGCACACTGTGGGTTTTCAGGGTGCAGTGCAGCGTTACTCTTCGACCTGGATTTGATCGGAATCCCCTCTGCGAAATAGGTTCGATTCGTGTTCGAGCAGCATGTGCTTTTTGCCATTCGAAATGGCTATCGCCTCCCACCAAGAATTCCAGAAGTGGACCCATGAAGACTCCTTTCGAAGGCCCCCGTCTCCGATCTTTTTCGTTGGAAAGCCGATCTCTCGCGTGGGTCGCACGGTGAAGCCAAAGGGCATGTTCGATCCACTTGGAGTGCGGCGTGGTAGGAGGGAAAGGGTTGGTACGGATTAGCATGCTTTAGCTGGGGGTGGTTTCAGAATGTTTCAGATATATATTTATAGTTTTTTTTTTTTTAAAATAGTGTTAAACATATTTTCTTGGCGGGGAGGATTGAACCCACTGATTAATATGTTTCAAGTGAATTGAAACCACCAACCAATTAGCCATCGAACTCAAGCCATGGTGTCGCAAATTAAAACTGACCCTTCACCACCTCAAATTGAAACCAAATGATACCAAATGTATTTGCGCTACCATGGGGTCGTCTGGGCATGTAGCTGATCTTCAGATGGTATCAAGACTGAGCCCCGAACGCTCGTCATCACGTTTGCACATGTTTGCACTGAACGAACGTTTCATCGCAGGTGCACGAAGCAGAGGATCCTTCAGCCATTGAAGCAGAGGTGGTTGAGGTGGGACGGAGCTGGAGAACCGCCGGCCGTGGCCTGGAAATACGGTTCAAGGACCTTTTGGGTGCTCTAGTTAAGGTGTGGTGCCCTTAGATTTCACAAATTTGTCCTATATGGACATGAAATCACAAGTATGCATCCACAGGGAATCTCAGTTCGTACCTCGGAAGTGGGTACAAGATGGTACAAGTGGTTTTTTGTGGGGTCATGTCCCATTTTCATCAATTTTCTAGGGTACTTGAAGACTTGAAGCCAGGTCCAGGCAGAAGAAAACCATTCTGACAAACACAGACCCAGCTGGGCGCCGTCCAACGCGTTCGCGTTCGCTCCTGGCGCCAGCTCGGCTCTCGGTGTTCCTCTTCGGTTCCTCTTCGGCTTCCGCCGGGCCCGGGTCGTTTCGGCCAAGGTCGTTGACGGTTCTTTGCCCTGGTGTCCAATACCCAGATATGCCAGGGGGTCAATGTAGGCATATTATATATGCCGCCCCATTGACCCCCAGTCAACCACCCCAATGTATAATAGGCATATATGGCATACATGGAGTGTCTGGGATAGATAGAGACTGTGCCCAATACCTTTTGAAACGGATTTAACTTTTCTAATTGAACTCACTGTCTGGAAGGTGTATCAACTGCTTCTTGACCCCATCGTTGCAGGAAGGCACATGGGCACATGGTACCCCAGATGTTTTGAAACATCAAACACCAAGTCTCCGACATGTGGATTTTCCGCTTTGGTCCCCAGGATGAACCGAATCTTTGAATATGGCTATATCATATACCCTACCATTCCAAAGCCGGTTTTAACAAGCAACTAGTCTGTCCAAGGCAGGTGATTCTATGGTGCACAGGGCAATCTTATTGTTTTAATATGTATATACCAGGAGTCACAAAGGGGTGGTTTTTAGTCCCTAAGTGAGTGGATAATGGGCACCCCTATCCTCCATTAGGCACCCCTTTGTGACTCCCTGGTATATATATATAATGTATTATAATGTGTATATATTATACACTCGGACTCGCCGACTCGCCGGATGATTTTTGTTCAATCTCCTGAGACATGACAAGACAGTTTATTCTGAACACGAGTTTAATGTAGACTCTTGATTCTTTTGATCAACAAAACCGCCAGACATGGATGGCAGTACCTCTTCAGGCTTTGGGGGGTTAGACATCTATGGAAATATCATCAAGAGTCAGCAAGAGTTTGCCTGATACCTGAATATTCGTTCGCTACGCAGCTACGCATTTTCCAATCTCAGGCACTCCATGTATGGGATATATATGCCGCCCCATTGACCCGCCAAACCACCCTTATAGCCTTATGGCGGAGTGTCTGGGAATGGTCCATTTTAGATGAATTTCGGCAGACATGTTGCAGCAGGTATGGACTCATCGAGGTATGGAGCTCAAAAGGCATCCCCTGCGTCGTGAGTCGTGAGTCGCACCACAACGACGAGTCGTTCGGTGGTCTCTCGCGACTCGTCGCGTCGCACGACTCGTCTCGCAGGTGGCAGAGGCCTCGAGGAAGGCCGTTGGCCGTGCGGAGATGTGGATGTCCTGCCTGCCCGAGCAGGCGTGGATGTCCACCTGAGCGGGTCTGGGATGATCGACAAAATGAGGCATCATCTACACGGATGAGGCATCGAGGGGATGACGCGAGCTAGGTTGGCAAGACTAAAGACGAAGTAGAAGACGAGTGTTCTGTCCAACATCCAGGCATTGATGCATTGGAACATGTTCGCCGAATATGTTTTCTTGGTTGAACCATAGTTATAAGAACATGACGGGGTCCTAAAACAATTCACACGGCACTCCTGCAAACATTGCCTCACCTCACCCCAAGGCATTCGGCGCATTAATTGTGGCATCGCTGTGCGCCGATGCGGAAAACAGTCAAATCCGAAGCTTCCCAGGTGCGGGAGGATGCAGGACTCGGTACATCCTTCGATGCGATTTGCGGCCTCTATCGCTGTTACCACAAGGCTGGCCGTGGGAAACACGTGATGTCGGGTTGAGTTGGGCTGCGTGGAGAGCTGCAGGTTGGTTCATCTTGCCTGTTTGGCAGTCTGAAGTCTTGGCGGCATGTGTTTGATCCAATCGCCCTGACTGTTCAGCTCGTGGTGGCGGCGAATGAGAACGTCCATCCCAGTCCGTGTGCACGAGGGCGCTCAGTCCGCGGGGCAGGCAAGGATGCTGAGCTCCAACATCCACGAGCACTTCGTGGCTTCAGCGGCCCTCCCCAGGGACTGCAGTCGGGGCATTTCAACTAACTGTGGTCCACCGCGGGCGCGGTGGTGATCGTGAAGTGAAGGGTTGGATGTGGGTTGAAGAAGAGTGGAAAATCTTTGGTCATGCAGTGTCGTGCAAGGAAAGAAAAGGACAAATTGCTTCAAAGTGACCAAACACCCGCAAGTTGCAATCACCCCAAGGTAGGGTGTTGAAAGGTCATTTGAAGAACCAGGGAAGTATCATTGTTGTATGTAGTTGTGTGGTGGCCATGAACGAAGGCATAGGGAAAGCAATGAATAGGTATGAATAGACTTATGGCTAGCTAACGCGTGAGGAGTCATTCATTGAAGCTCATGCTTCTTCAGAGACTCGAGTTCTGGCAACAGAGGGTCAGCACAGCGTGCACTCTTGGGGGCGCAACGCTTGTTGATTGTGTCATTGTGTGTGGATGGTGGCCAAATACTGTTTTAATTTTTCTATATTTATTTTTTTGGCACGCATCCCAAGATTTTCCAGACCCGATGACCATCTATGAGCCATATGACATAATATATTGACCATCCAATTTGTGCGATGTTCGCCCATCTCAACTCCAGCCTGTTTCCCTCCCCATCGTGCCAGTGTCGAATGACAGGACCTGCCCACGATGCGTTGGCTTTGCTCAGCCAATTTGGTCTCGGCGGAGCTGGCCTATGCCGTGCCTCGGCTAGGCGACATGGTGTTCAACTGTGAGGAGAAAGACAGAGCTGGAATATGCTGGAATGGTGGAGTTTGATGTAAATAGGGACGTGCTAGGAGAAAACAGTGTTTAACCATATTTATAGGCTATATGCGTCTTGGTTCTTGCTCTCTTTTCGGTCTACTTGTGCACAATGTGTGGATCCGACAGTTCCCAGTTGGTACCTTGCCTGGGTGTGCCTCAACCAGAGTTGTGCTTGCACCACCGTGACCGAGGGTCGAACCCAGACCATCCATCAAACCATGGGACTGGAATTCTTACACCAAACGTCATGAAGAGGGGTATACAAACGTCATGAAAAGCATTCTCCAGCATCTAAGGAACAAACACACACATGAACTTTGTTCCATTACCTTGTGAGAGAAAGGCCTTTACAATTCCTTACACAATAGATGGGATATATATATATATTGGTTCACATCGCAACAATAAACCTCCCCCCGGCCCCTGGTGGATTTCGGGGAACCCAACATGTGTTCGTCGTCATAAACTACTTGCAACTTAAGACTAGGACAGCTTTTTTCTATTATTGTTTTGAATTGAGCGAAAATATCAACAAATCAAACGCTGAAGAATTCAATCTGGAAAGAGATTTATTATTGGCAGGTGTCTATACTTGTATGTTTTAGGTCTTCGTAAGGGGTAATCTTTGCGAACACTTTTATTTGATTTTTATAAGGATGTTAGTTATATTATACAAACAATGATTGTTTCGAGCTAGGTTTACATGTTGATTTAGCTGAGACAATGTAAGACATATATTTATAATTAATATTGTTTATAAGTAAGAATTAGTTAATTAACTATTGTTGATGATCAAAGTATATTTTTTTTTTGTAGAGGAGTAAGTCATGTTTATAACTGGTACTGTAGTGACAGTAATACTTTATAATTGACACTGTGTAGTTTAATGGTTTTGTTTTTGCAACACATTGTTTATAATTGTATCGCCCTTTATTTTTAACGTACTGAAACATCGGGTTGGTTGACGGTAGGTTCCGTCGTTTCCAGTCGTTGTTTCGGAGGCCCGGAGAGTTTGAGGTTTTGACTCGTAGTTTAACTATTGTGAGGTGAACATGAATATCATATATTGAATACCAACACATTGTGAGGGTGTTATGTTTGTCGATTTATCAGTCCCATGAATGCCATGGATGCTTTGGGATGGGTGGCTCGATCTCCAACGAGGTTTGTTCGCCTGGGCCGGACAGGCAAAAACGACGAGAGAAAGCGCCAGGTGAAATGGATCAAGTTTGCAGGGATCATGCTGAACATGTGGCCTCCAACGGTTTTTGTTCATCAGGATTTGCTCGGATCAGAGGTCTATGGAATCGCACCGTCGACTGCTCGTGGCGCTGGGTGCATGTCTTCCTCCAAGGCGCTGGGTGTCTTGGGTTGCTTGCAAGCAACGGAGGTCTCCCAGTGACCCGAGGTCTCTCGCGTGGCGTGCGGAAACCGTTTCGGCGCGTGGAAAAACCGTCGCGCTTCTTTGAGCCAGCGGCTTTTCGATCTGTCCTACAGAGCTCGTGGGGCGGAGTGTTCAGGTACAGCAGCTTGATGGAGCAGGCAAACTTCACGGCCTGCGCTCATGGTGAGCATGGCTTGGATGCACTGCTTCGGGCTTTTCTGCAGGTCTGCCGAGGAGAAGCAGGCCCCTGCCGTTGCCTCCTCGGGGCCCTTTTCGTCGAGAGGGTCGGAGGGTTGGATGAGATTCGATGGATGCCAAGCTTCGTAAATGGAACAGAGCAGATTGGCATGTCAGGCAAGGCGCATTGAATCACAGAATACCACAGACATCCACAGACTTTCTTTTATCGAGATGTTTCTTAGGTTCAGGTTCAGTTGCGAACGCATGATGTTGCATGTGTCTCAGTGGGACAAGGACCATGTAAAAACACGCAGCATCCGGAGACCCATGTTTTTGGGATCGTTTTGGAACCAATGATTCCAAACGACCAAGAGAGCGACCCTTGAAGGGCGACCCTCTTCTGAACCCCCACCGGGCAACAAACACATGGTTTACGAACACCGGGTGTGAGCTTCACTTCCATGTTTCTGAGTCGGTAGGTAGCAAAAGTTCTGCAAGACGCTCCACCAAGCCAGCCACTGTGGCTGTTCATAGCCCTGATGAAGGTTTGCCAGATCCCGATCAAGGTCCATAGGCTCCAACGAAATCATACGAAATCAAGATGGATTTCCGCGGATTCCCTGCCAGTTAACTCATTTGCCAGAAGTGGACTCTATAACTGGGTTCTTTTCCCGCGACATATTGGCAGCCTTTGCTTCGGTTGGAGATGTGGCCCATGAAAACCCCATCAACGATATCAAATGGCACCTGAAAAGGGAGGTCCTGGTCGCCCAACGCCGTAAGACCAAACAGATCCGATGGGAAACGACATGTGAAAGGCGCGCTGAACGACGCACGACGCCGACGTCCGCGGGGGTTTTCTACGCCACCGACAGGCACCGCTGCTGACAAGCGAGAAGCCTTGCTCGCGGCGGTGCGTGCCTCTGGGGCACAGCTCATGTCACTGCAAAAGGCACCGCAGAAGAAGACTTCGGAGGAAGGGCAGCAAAGGGTAGGAGGTTTGGTCTGGCCCTGGGCAGCACAGATGTGCTGCCCTGGGGTGCTGCTTTTGAGGGAGGCAGTTTTCTTGTGGCAGGTGCAGCGTTACATGTTTTGGACGTGTTTGGACGATGTAAATCCCTAGCTGTGACCTTCGGGCCTTGGGGGTTGCGCGCATGGGGGAGCTGGATTTGAGTGAGGGGGAGCGTCCAACCCGTTGTTGACCGAGCTCCCTTTTTACCTATAGTCTTACCCCAATCCAAGATACGCCCGTGAAGCTTTGTGGGTGTTCTTTGAGCAAAAATGTCTCTTTGCGCAGTCAGCATATTGAAATGGCTCATGTGGAAGAAGTCTTGGAGGACACGGCTTTATCTTGCGTGCGATGACCACGGTTGTTGATCCCATTTTCGGTACTTGAAGTCGGGCCCGGGTGATGATGTCCGATTCCAGGTTGTGGTGGCACATGTCCGACGGGCCAGGCTCAACGGTTGTTCTTTCCCAACCGCTCTCTCCCTGGGTGGAGTTTCGGTGGAACCGAGCTCTCCTTTTTGACCGAGACTCATCCAACTCGGCGATTCACGTTCGGTCAGGATGGCAATCAGACTGAAACGACCTGTTGCATACTTAGATAGGCTTGGTATGGCTTGGTTAGTTATCGTATTTATTCAATAATAGATATTAAAGAGTTATTAGTCCCTAAGACTAAGAGGTCCAACAGGTCTCCTAAAGAGAGTTGTTAGTCCCTAAGTGATCTCAATTGGTGAAGATAAGAATTGATTGATTGCACATGAGGCCCTCTTCAAGGAGCAGCATGCTTGCTCTGCGCTTCGCAGCACCTGTGCCGCTGAAGCCTTGAGCCGCTTGGATGGAAGTCTACGCAGGAGAATCAGGCCTTAAGATACTGGTTGAAGTACCGGTTGATTATGTCACCACAAAATGGTTACCCTTTTCCTTTATAACATGGAGTTTCCAACCCCCACTTTATAAAGCTCAAAGTGCGTATGCTCAAAAATCTAGGGTTGGAAACTCATTTATACAAACAACACAAGGTTTGTGCCTGGTGACGTAGAACATATCACTTACCTAAGATGGAAACCTGGTCGAATCATTTTATAAACAGGTGTTTTTCCTCCACCAACAGCATTTGGAGATGGGTCAACACCTGCAGCCCTGGTCACTTTGCCTGGGACCGGGTTCTTTGGGGCTTCATCAAATGCCATCCCCACAAAGATACCAGCGTTCTTGTTCTACTTCGTGGGGTCGTGGCATTTGTTAACGAAGATGCAAACAACATGGACACCAGCCGTTTGGCCTTCCTCAGGTCCCTGAGAGGTCCACTCCTCAACTCTCCTCAACTCGGGGAGTGGCCCGCAACGAGTGGCGTTTGTGGTCTGGACATGTCTGGAGGAGTGGCGTGGGTCCCATTTCTTTCACCCATGTGCGGCCTGGAGTGGCGTGGGTCGGACACCGGCCTGGAGGCTTGACCATTCGTACACCCGGCCATCACCCCAACACACGGGGTTGGAACACTGCACGTGTGTGTTCCTGCACCGATGCCTTGCACGAGACGCACACCTGGGGCTTGATCAAATGCCCCCACCAAAGACACCCCGTGAGCTGCTTGTACCCCCTTTAGTGGGGTTGTGTCTTTTATAAACTGAGCTGCAAACCAAAGCCCCAGGCCAACTATGCCAAAACAAAGGCCAACCATGAAAAAAGAACCAGTTACCCCTTCCAGTGGTAATTGTTTGCCCTTGCCGGTGCGTTGTCTTTTTTGTCCGGATTGTCTTTTACAGATGCGTCGTTCTTTGACGTTCTGTCATCGCTGTCATGTTCAGACTGTGCACTGCACGTCGTGCTGTCAAGGACCCTTTGCGCTGTTCTGTCACGTTCTGTTTTGCTTTGGTCCCGTAGAAAAACAATAGGAAACCATCTCTGGGGCTGTATAAAATGCCCGCCCCACAAAGACAAAGACACCCGTGTAGTAGTACCTCTTGGTGGGTTGTGTCATTTCATAGCCTGGTTTTGGCCCCCTTGCTTTGGGTCGGCTCAATCTCCTGACGAAACCCGGCGGCCCTGGCGTGGCCGTGTGGACAAGCCATTCCCTTCTTTTCCTCCTCTGAAACGCGCGGCCTGGAGGAAGGTAGGGAAACCGCCTGGGGCTCCAGGCACAGCTCATAGAAACGATGATAAGCACATGTAAGCACAGGATATCACAGGTGTAGTCGTTTCCTCTGCGGGGGGTTGTCATACTGTTTCAATCCAGATGCACATGCTCCGCCATATCTGGTCTCTCCAGCCCCGCTCCAAAGATCTCCAAAGTCTTTTCGTGGGAGCCCGGTCCCAGCTTTATAGTAAAAAACACTAGGTTGAAGAGATCTTAACAGGACCCCGAAGTCATTTTATCAACAGGTTGGTGTAGCATTTGATAGGCAGTTCATCTCGGTCCGACCATTCTAGAAACGGCCATAGTCTATAAAATGGACATCCGCAGCCCAAGCAGATAAGTCTACCGGTATGCCTTAAGTATGCATCACCAATGAAGTCTAATCGGAAGATCCTGTGCCCAAGCTGGAACAAGATCCCCAGTAAGAACCCAGGAATGGCATTCCAACATCGTGGTCTTTCAGAGAGCTGAACACTCAGGAGCCGCCTGTGCAGGTGCTTTGTATGCCTCCAGCCTTGCTGGAGGCGATGCTCGTCAGTCCTGGAAGGACTGCGGCGACGTCGGCTGGTCGAAGGCGTCGGTCCTGTGATTTCGACCCGGTCAAACATCGCGTTGAAACACCGCGGTTTCACCAAGGATTTCAGAGACATTCCTCGCCAGGTGTACAGTCTGGCCCACAGCAAACTGGATCGATGTGGCAGATTTCAGCCGGTCCCGGTCCGGAGTTCGAACTCGACCTGTTCCATCTTCTGACTCCGATGACCTTGTGGATTACAGCGAGAAGAAATTATGGAGAAGTATACCTGAGGCCTGGGAGGACTCTCTATCCAAACATACACACAAAAAAACATGGCGGTTCCGTCGCCGGTCGACAGGCAACAGGTCGACCGGCACCACGAACAGCGGCTGGAGGAGGTGACCAGGGCGTCACAGGGCGGAAGAGACCCAGCTAGGCCAAACAGCTTCGCCAGCTTCGCCCTTTGGGGTTCGCTTCGTTCGCAAATAAAGACGTATGGCCTTGCTGGAGACGGCGCCCGCTTTTTGCTTCGCAGTTTCTCCGCCGACTGAGTGATGTCGTTCGAGAGGAGCTCTATCAGCAAACCGACTCTTTTCTGAGCTCTTCACTGCCGGAGGAACATCAGGTCCGGGCCGAGTCGGTTTTGAGTCTCTTGGGATCCAGAAGGTTTGGAGTGAGCTATCAGCTGAGTGAGATGTGTAATTGAGAGAGTCAGAATTGCATGATTTGTTTATTGCAGGCCGCCAGTCTCGCCTGGGGGCCACATGTCCCGTCTGTCTCGCCTATTGACATGACCGGCTGAACGGGCTTGATATTTGTGTGAGTCTTTGTTTGAGAGGAAGAGCATTCTACACCAGGACTCGAAGACATTTAACTCAATGTTGTGGCAAGGAGTGGACGTTACAGTTAGCTAAAGGCTTCAGTTTCCCACCACATATAGCTAGAATCATCAGCGCCCTCTAGATCTTAAGGGGCTAAGTGTGCCTACTATGTTATCCAATGTTCTAGATTCCAGACACTACATCGTTTGCATTTGATTATTTTGCAACAACATGCTTGCTTAATATATATATATATTTATCATGTGACTTGTTGTAAACCTTTGGCAGCCCCTCGGTTCATGCAAGTCGAGGGATTGGCCTCTACGGGAACGGGGCTTGCTTGTCAGATTCTGTATGGAACTTCAATACTTTCCCATGCTGTCCCAGCAACAAACCCACCACTGAGAAGACCCTCCAGTGAGGACATATTATGCGAAAGAAGGCTGAAAAGTCAAAAAATGGAGGGATGTGAATACACTCCATAGAGGTTTTACAGTTGCATGATCGTAATTAGTTTTGAATCACCATCATGTGTGTGTGTGTCCACCCCTGGACAAAGGGTTCTCAACCAACTTCGGCAGGGGGCCATCCCCCTCCCCGGTGGCGGATGGCCAACGAAGAGGCCACTGCAGGGGCTGCAAACGTACCTGCCGAACTGTTGTACAAGCTGTCACTCCACTCTTTCTTTGTTTGTTTCCATGGTGGTTCATGCTACTTCCCCTAAACCCTTTCCCTCGCCGCCCGCGCGCGTCGTCGTCGCACCGCTGCAGATGAGAAACTTCAATGTTAAAACACCTTCAAGTCTTTGGACCTTTCACCATGCCGTTCCATCGCCTTCCTTCTCAACGTGGCAACAGAGTCGCTGAAAACCAATGTCAGAGTGTGTTTCGCTCAGCCGTCCCACTCGGGTGCTGAGTGTGATCCCCGTCACAGGGGCGCTGTTTTTTGCATCGGAACTCAACCACCCCAACGTACCACTTTTCACTGGACCTTCACCGGAAGTCACGGCCACCCCCATAGAATCAACTGATGCATTGGCCGCCGGGCCCAAAAACGGCATTGCTGCCGGGCTATAAAACGGTGCTCACCCCCATGAGGCAGGTTCCCCAAACAAGGTGTATTTTTTTCATTTCGACTTTTTTTTTGAAATCGACTTTTTTTCTATTTAAATTTTGTGAGAACACAAAAACCTAACCTCCCAGGTCCCTGACCCGCCCCCGCGCTAAGCCACTTTTTTCCTCCACCTGCCGTGGGCCTCGGTCTGGCTGTCATGTGGCGCCTCCAATCCGAGGTAGCCCTGACTGGCGCCTCATGGTATTCTGAGGTGGCCACTTAAGAAGGTAGGTGTCTGGACTCATGTGCTGTGCTGGATCCAGATCGCCGCTCTCCTTTGCAAAACCAGTTGCAGGCTTCGTTCCACATTGCGATGTGGCGTCCACACTTTCGAACTTCTTCAGGGAGGTTTGCCACCCGAGCCCACGATCCTCTGAGATCACTGAGTCTGCGATCTCTCGGGCTCGAGTGTGCCTGGCTGATGTGTGACTTAGGCGTTGAAAGTGAACCACCGAGTCACGATCCAGGCACTTGGCCTTCCAGACTGCATAAATGTCTACGCCATGCTGCAAAGATGGTAGTATAGCACTTCAAAAGCCTGTTTTCAAGCTGCCCAGCGGCCTTTCCCCAGCGCTTCCAATTTGCCATCGCGGTTGGCTATGCAAGTAGCGATAAGCTCTCTGAAAGGTGTCAGCTCAGCAGGCTGCCATCCCTTTTTCAATTCTGAGATGGCGCCTTGTAATTCCAGCTCCAGGTTGTTGTCTCCATCCACGAAGTCTTGTAGGGTTTTGTCTTTCGCTCCCCCGGGCAAAGCGTGCTGGTCTTGGATTTCCTGCAAACATGAAATCAAGAGCTGACTCATTTGCGTTGCCTCGGTCATTGCAGCCGTGTCCAATTTGGAGCGAATTGCACTGGGTTTGCGCGCGTGTGAACAATGCACGTAGCGGACCAGCAATTCGTAGCCTTCGGATGTTGCCGCTAGCCTTTTCTGCCATGCTCGGTCGCTGTTTGCACGCGGCTGAAAGCCAGGCGTGGGCTTCTTGTTGCTAAAAGCGGTCTCATTGAATGCGCAGCCATCAAATCCAAATTCGGATACGTGCTGTAGCAACAAGGATAGGCACTGCTCGGGTAAATCCAAGAGTGCCACCAGGCCCATCCTTTTGGCCCCCTGGATGGCCGAGTCCTTCGTGGCACTTTCGTTGTATTTTTTGATGATTTCGGCTGGCTGCAGTCCTTGCAATTAAGGGTATGCAGCTTGCCCGCCCATGTGATGACGTCATGGGCCTTACGGATTACTCCGCGAGCGGACAACCGTGCGTTCTCCATGGCGATGGTTGCTGAATCACTTGCGGCAGTGCCAAGTCGGCAATACACTGCTAGCAAGGATTGGTGCAAGCTTGGATTCAAAAGCTGCACGTCGACTTTCAACTCATTCAAAATAACGTGCGCCAGCATCAGCATGCTGGTAGCACGAGCAGCCCCTTTCAGCTAGTGGGTCCAAAACAACGCCCCCGCCTCAAGCTCCTCAGAGTATTTGAACTCCGAGGGCAGGTCAAGGGGCTGCTGATACAGAAGCAAAGGCTCCTGTGCAGTCAGACAAGTGTTCGTTAAATACTCGTCTGCCAGGGCCGCTGCCGTGACTCTAAAAGTCATAGGCTTGGAGCTGCAGCACTCCACAAAGCCCAGTTGCCACAAAGACACCCGAAACGTCTCACTCGGGTCGTGGCCCCGAGGCAACTCAAGGCTCTCCAGGTAGGACAAATCGGTCCGCCTGGGAAAGGCCACCTGAAGCTGCTCAGCGAAATCTTTCCATTTCAAGTTTCCTGGGCTGCCCTGTTCGCGCATATTGCACTGGACCTCCACAAGCCTCGAGGTGGAAGTTCATGGCTGTCCAAGCGACTTTCTTGAAGTTAGCTTCAGTGATTGCCATTGATGCTGCAGGTGGGTGAGGGGCCTGATGTCCGGAGGATAGTAGATGGTTTCATGGCCACGTCCTCTGGAGCCTCGGGCTCTGATTTCTTGTTATTCTCTGGGTCCTCTTTCATCTCTTCCTTCACATCCATGGCGTCTGGGCGACCAACCCTGCCGGGGAATGTGCCTAGCCTAACTTGTTACTATTGGACTTTTTCTGTTGGCTTGCCTGACACCATGCCATGCTTCTTGACTACCCGGTCTCCTTACCGAGCCCAAGCTTTGGGAAAGCCACCAGAATTCTAACTCAACGTTAAAAACCCATTTTGCGACCAACTGGGGGGGTCGAAAAGTGACCCCCCCAGATCGTCGCGTTTCAAACGAAACGTGACTAACTCCCAGCCCAAACCCTGGATCGTGACTAACTGGGGGGGTCGAAAAATGAAACCTTAGATCGTCGCGTTTGTATAACCTAGATCAAGAGATCGTCGCGTTTCAAACGAAACGTGACTAACTGGGGGGGTCGAAAAGTGACCCCCCTAGATCGTCGCGAAATGGACTCAAATCATGGTTTCTGAGGGTCTGATGGTGACTTGTTTGATAGTCTGGCGCTGGCGCGGTTCGATGCCATGGTCTTTTTTTCCGCCCGTGAGTGCCAAGTCATGTCCATATTCAATATGTTCCCAATCATACTACTCAGCCGCCACCCATCACTATGCGCAAGTGGGCTTGATTCAAATGGCCGCTTGCAACCATCCTCAGCTTGATGAGCTTATCCTGGAGTCAGGGCGGCAGTCCCAGACTGCTGGGCCCACTCCAACCGCACAGCGTCTGCCAGGTGGTCCACCAATTCCGGGGAATACACTTGGCACCATGAAGAGAGTTGAAGACCCGATTCGGAGCCTTGGATCACTGCGTGCTCCTCGGTGCAATTGCACTGGAGGGGAGAAAAGATGTTGTGGATCTCCCGGCTGTTGGTCATCAGAACCGTCCTTTTTTTGATAGGTTTCAAGCCGGAAGGAGTCCTCAGACCAGTTCGACACTGGTCAAAAGAAACCAGGAACACATTGGGTTTGTTTGCAAGTTCGGCTATTGATGCTCTGCGCCAACTGGATGCGCCCGGTGGATGTTCATGACAGAAGAAACGGTTGCCTCTCAGCTGCCGATCGGCAATATGCATGGCAAAATCCAGCATGCAGTTGGCATCTGCAAACCTCTGTTTGCGAATCTGCGGCTGCATTTTTTCAAATTTAGGTTTTGCATTTTGCTGAACATAGTGCATGGCGGAGATAGCATGACGAAAAAAGGTGCATGCGTCTCATACAATCTCAGTGCTCTGGCGCGATCTTCAAACTTCAAGAAATCGTAGCCAGTCATCAAATCAAAACTGTACCGCGCGAAGAAGCCAGTTCTTCGTAGCGGCAGTGCCACCCGTGGAGGTGAATAAAACTCCATGAAGTGGTGGGGAAGGCGCTGAATCTGGTTGGCGCCTTCTTCTTCAATTTTGTCGATGACCAAGTCACACAAACTTGAACTGGCTTGCAAGGCGCCTTCCCAAGGAGCAGGCCCTGGATCCTATACGGATATTTGCAGCTGCCTAGCGGATGAGTCGGCTTTGATATGAAATGATTCAGTGTCCCAAAACTTGCGCTTTTGAATATACTTGAAGGTCTTGTAAAATAGATTTATCACCCTGACCGGTTCCCACAAAATGATATATCATCCACATCACTGCATCATTATGTGCCCGGAACCAGGCCTTGGTGGTTGCGGAGGTGAGCTTTTTGGCGCCTCCATCATCTCAATATCGGAGCCATCCTCGTCTGAGCTGCCAATTATGGTTATGTCCTCCACAATGCTCCCAATGAGCTGTTCAAGGTCTTCTTAGACCCTAGTGTGGCTTGTTCGAATTTGCGCCATCATGGTGCCATGATGATGCATGTCTCCGATTTCAATCATATGATTGTGTGAATGTCATGACAAGTCAAACAATAATTGCTCTGAAACTAAAGTACTTTTATGATGAACAACCATTCGTCGCATGAAACATTGAAACTGAATAGGGGTTGCAATCCGTTTTCAGCTGCCTTGGGATCTGAGAAGGAAAAGTGAAATCTATGGCTTGAAAATCCATTCGGTCCTCTCCTCGTTGAGGACAAGCCCTGCCAGAGTCCGACACCGCGCGCAACCGCCTTAAACCTGCATTTGTGGCCGCCCAATTGGACTCCAGGAGGCTTGGGAAGAAACATGAAACATTGAAACATTGAAACTGAATCGTTGTGATTCGACTTGCTTGGCTCTGGCCCTGGGCCTGACCATGGCGGAGCCTCAGTCCCTGGCGCATCTTGGCTAGACCCCGCTTGGTTATTTTCCTGGCTAGGATAATCGCTTGAATCCGGCCAGGGACATGAGTCCGCCCAGGATTGGGTAGGACCATCAGTCAACCAGGGATCCGCCCAAGTTTGGGTAGGACTCTGACTCTTCTGGCACCGAGCCAAATTTGGGCACCCAGATATATCTTGGTCGCAAGGTTGACCTGGAGGACCCCCGTTGCTTTGGGGCCATCTCTGGCCAACTTGCGCTCCAGCTGGGTAGCTTTTGCTTGAGCCAGAAGGACCAAGACCCAGAGTTGATTATCATACTTTGACACATGTACACTGTGGCAACATGGTTTATTATCTCCAAAAAAAGTTGGTTTCTAAAAAAAAAAGGTTGAAATGAAATTGTTTTGTCTTAAACCCCCCCCCCGCTGTGTTCTACTCCCTACCTATTTGGTGCAACATAGGGAAATGGTACTCGACACACTTGTGTGTCGGTGCCTTTCCCTGTGTTGTTCCTGTTCTAGTCTTTCCTACCCGGGCGGTCTAAGACTAAAGTCCCGCTCCCTAACTAGTGCACCTAATTCACTTCGTCTAAGTATTCAGTAATTCTAGAGTGCTAGGTAGTCAAACACACACACGTACACACACATGGACATACACCCCCTCCCTGCCCCCCGCTTTCCTTCTTGCGTTTTTTGTCGTTTGTTGGGCTTTCTCTCAGGCTTTTTAGGTTGTTCTTGAGGCTCGTTTCCCTACCCCAGTCAAGGGCTAAGTATTCATTTTTCATTTTTTCCCGAATGCGTAGCGAAGGGTTCTCGTTTAACTCTGGGGGTCTGGGGGTAGAGTCTTGTTCGCGATCCGTTGTTTCTATGTTCGCAACCGTCCGCAACCGTCCGCAACCGTCCGCAACCGTTCGCAACCGTTCGCAACCGTTCGCAGTAGGACGCTAAGGCGCTGCCATTGGGGGAAGCTTTTGCAAGTGACTTTTCATGGATGTGTCACGTGTCAGTTTGCGACGCTATTCCATTGTGATTTGCATGAAAATGACATGTCGCGCAAGAAGCGTGATGCATTTCGCTGCACAGGCGCAGTGGTTTGAGAGATCCGCAGTTTACTGCGCAGTTCCATTGGGATTAGCGTTTGGAGAGTCGTGTTTTTGGGGTGTTGGATGTGGCCGTGCCATTGGGATTTGCATTTCAGGGTGTGGCATCGAAGCTCTGTTTTCGTGACAAGTCTCAGCTGAAATGGCGATTTTGGTGGATGGGAGTGTGCTCAGAACGGGTCGAAATCATTCTAAACGTGTGGTGTGGTGCAAATTTTGTTGAAGCTCACGTGAGATGATATTCTCACTTTTCGTGGCAGGCACAGTACTTTGTGCTGATTTTGAGGTGTGGAAGTGCGATTTTCGTGGCAGGCGCGGGAAATCGTGAGGTTGCGAGGTGTGACGGAGGTGACATTTCGTGGCAGGCGCAGTACTTTGTGCGCGTTAGACGTGTGGATGCGGAAAGATTCGTGGCAGGCGCAGGGAATCGTGAGGTCGTGAGTTATGGTAGAGGTGAATGTCGCTGTCACATTGGGATTGGCGTGTGAGCGGGCGTCGTTTGGAGGGGCTGGAATCGCGAAATTGCTTGGCAGGGCTGCGTGATGCGTGTGCTCCGATGGGTGTTTCCGCTGGACTTTTGGAGGAAGTCTCGTACGAAGCGCTCGTTTTTGAGACTTGACGCGTGACTTTTGGAGGAAGTCTCGTACGAAACGCTCGTCTTGCAGCCTCGCAGCGTGACTTTTGGAGGAAGTCTCGTACGAAGAGTGTGCCCTACAGGAGTGTCCCACAAGAGTGTCCTACAAGAGTGTCCCACAAGAGTGTCCTACAAGAGTATCCCACAAGAGTTTCCTACAAGAGTGTCCCACAAGAGTGTCCCACAAGAGTGTGCTACAAGAGTGTCCCACAAGAGTGTCCCGTATGAGTGTCCCACAAGTGTGTCCCACAAGAGTGTCCGACAAGAGTGTCCCAAAAGAGTGACCCACAAGAGTGTCCTACAAGAGTGTGCAACAAGAGTGTCCCGTAAGAGTGTCCCACAAGAGTGTCCTACAAGAGTGTCCCACAAGAATGTCCTACAAGAGTGTCCCGTAAGAGTGTCTCACAAGTGTGTCCCACAAGAGTGTCTCACAAGAGTTAAGATTGTCCCACAAGAGTGTCCTATAAGAGTGTCCCACAAGAGTGTCCCACAAGAGTGCCCTACAAGAGTGTCCCAAGAGTGTCCTACAAGAGTGTCCCACAAGAGTGTCCTACAAGAGTATCCCACAAGGGTTTCCTACAAGAGTGTCCTATAAGAGTGTCCCACAAGAGTGTCCCACAAGAGTGTCCTACAAGAGTGTCCCACAAGAATGTCCCACAAGAGTGTCCCGCAAGAGTGTCCCAAATGAGTGTCCCACAGGAGTGTCCCACAAGAGTGTCCCGCAACAGTGTCCCGCAAGAGTGTCTCACAAGAGTGTCCCTTAAGAGTGTCCCACAAGAGTGTCCCGCAACAGTGTCCCACAAGAGTGTGTCCAACAAGAGTGTCCCACAAGAGTATCCCACAAGAGTGTCCTACAGGAGTGTCCCACAAGAGTGTCCCACAAGA